AAGCCTCACAGAGAACTCCAACCCACTGCCGGCACGTTGGTGCCAGTAAATCACAACCGTACAGGACAGAGTAGAACTGCCCGTGGGAGTCCAAGACCACATCTTTATGGAAGTAGAACATCTCATCTCTCTCCCTCAGAGCTACTGGTGGTTTTGAACTGTGGGCCTTGCATTAGCAGCCGGACATGTAACCCATGATGCCACCAAGCTCCTAAACTGGGCCTACACCTAGTAAAAGGAAGGAAGCCACAAAGCTTAGAGCAGAAATAATTAAGAAACAGGAAAACAATCGAATAATAAAACCAACAATTGGTTCTTTGAAAAGACGTTTTGAAAACTGATCATTCTTTGGCTGGACAAATGAAGAAACAATATAAATATACAAAAGTGAAAGAGGCGACAATACAATTGGTACAATGAAAAAGTAGAATTACAAAAGACTATTATAAACAACTGTGCAACCTATAAGAAATGGGCAGATTCTTAACCCTGACACCCAAACTAGGCAAAGACACCAGGAAAAAAAAAACCCAAACCCTATAGGCCGATATCTCGTGTGACTGTAGATGCAAAAATCCTCAACAAAATAAAAGTGAACAGAATCCACCCACCCCAAACTCACCGCCTCAGAGCAACCATGTAAGAGTACAACTGCCTCTTTAGGTTTCTGGACTTCATGGGAGCAGCCAGCCTCATCTTTCTCCCTTTGAGTGACCAGCGGGTTCAAACTGCTGACCCTGCAGTTAGTAGCTCAGTCCATAGCTAACTATTCCACTAGGGCGCTAGTGAATAGAGATGCAAAATCTCTCAACGAAACAACAGGAAGCAATCCTACAGCAGATTTAAAAATTCATATGCCAGGTCAAATGGAATTTATTCCAGGAATGCAAGGATGATTCAACATCAGAAAACTAACCCACGTAAAAGACCGTATCCAAAGACCAAAGGAAAAGAACCACTTAATTATCTGTACAGACGCAGAGAAAGCATTTGATAAAATCCAACAACACTTCTTGATGAAAACCCTAAAAAAGATTGGAATAAAAGGAAAATTCCTCAACATGATTCTGGGCATATTTGAAAATCAAAAGCCAACATGATACTTGATGGAGAAAAGCAGTCTTTTTCTTGAAATCTGGAGGAAGACAGGGGGCTCACTCCACCACTTCTGTTCAATATTGTATTAGAAGTTGTAGCCAAAGCAGTTCAGACATGAAAAAAGGAAAAATCAAGGTATCCAGATTAGAGAAAAATAAACATGTAAAATTATCTTTAATTGTAGACAATATATTGTCTACTATATAACAACAGTTCTCAACCTGTGGGTCGTGACCCCTTTGAGGGTTGAACGACCCTTTCACAGGGGTCGCCCAATTCATAACAGTAGCAAAATTACAATTATGAAGTAGCAACACAAATAATTTATAGTTGGGGGTCACCACAACATGAGGAACTGTATTAAAGGGTCCCGGCGTCAGGAAGGTTGAGAACCACTGCTGTATAACTAAATCAACCCCAAACAGTCAACACGAAAGTTTCTAGAGCTAACCAAAGAATTTAGCTAAGTTGTAAGGTCAATAAATAAAAAACAGCTGGGTTTCTATATACCAACAATGAGAAATCTGAAAGGCTAAATTAAAGAAACCATTCCATTTACACGAGCATCTAGAGAATTAAATGCTAGGAATAAATCTAGCCAGGAATGTGAAGGATTTATGTACTGAAAGGTAATATACTGCTGAGAAATATTAAAGACAAATAAATGGAAAGATGTTCCAGGTTCATAGATTGAAAGACAAGACTCTTAGGCTGTCAATACTATCCAAGCACATCTAGAGGTTCAGTGCAATCCCAGTCAAAATCCCAACAGCACTCTTTCCAGAAATAGAAAAACCAATCTTCACAAAACCACAAACAATAAAAGACAAAATAAATAAATCTCATGACCAAAAAAACAAAACAAAACAAAGCCTATTATTGATCAAAAGCCTTCACCAAAAAAAGTAACAAGACAAGCTACTGATACAAAACAATTTGGCAAGAATTGAATCGTCAAAAAGTATATATTTCTTGGTAACAGTACAAAGATAAATAACCCAGTCATAAAGCTGGCAAAGAACGGAAAACAGTTTCATCAAAGATGAGTTTCAAATGAGTATCAAACATGTGCTCTGCATCATTAACCATTAACCCACAAATCACTCCCACTAAGAAGAGCGGAGCGAAGGCTAAGATTTAAAGGAAATCCAAAAAGCAGAAAATAACCTGGTTGAGATGTGTGGAAATTGGAACCCTTATCTATAGTTGTTATGGAAAGCAGTGTGGCTGTTCCTCACAAACAAAAATAAAACTAGCAATTCTACTCCTAAGTATACATCCAAAAGATGAGAAAGCAGAGACTTGAAATCAATAAGTGAGTGAATAAACAGAATGTGGCCACACACAATACATTCAATAGACTCCTACTCAGCTAGCGGGAGAAATGAACTCTCATCCATGCTAGCGTGTGGAGGAAGCTTGACGTAAGTCATTAAGCTGACTGGACTAGGACAAATAGTGTACGACTTCATTTCCCCCAAAAGTCAAGAAAGACAAATGTTCAGAGACAACCTTTATTAATGGTTTCTAGGGGAGGTGATCAGAAGAAAAAGGAGAGGCTATCAGTGATGGAAACATTTTACTGATTAAGGGTGGGTCTAGACAATTATTGTAATTATGGTCATTAAGAAAAGTTGAAATGACAAAAATTGTGATAGATATTTTCTAAACAATGACAAAAAATTCCCCCCAAACTCCAGTAGCTGCTAATCTTTTTTATGTGTAACCACACCGCTCATGGGATTTGGTGTCTTGGTCCGGAGGTTTAGGGTGATAAGACAGTTGGCCTCCTATTGTGTCTAGAGCTTCTGCTCTACCTCCTACTCTGTTGTGAGGCAAGTACCTGGGGTCTCAACAGCTTGCAAGTGGCCAAGCAAGACACCACAGTTGGTCTCTACTGACCCAGAGCAACCAGGAAGTAGGCGAGTCAGGAATAGGAAGAGGACACGTGTGGTTCATTTCCTTCCAGGCACATCTGCTGCCTTTGTCAGGAGACCAGAAAAACTGGATGGTGCCCCACAACCACTACTGACCATTTTGAGCAATGATTCCATGGGTCAATGATTCCTGATCCAAAGAGGAGAATGTAGAGTAGAATTTCAAGTTCTCATGGACTCCAAACTTTTGGGTCCCATGAAGACGGGGATGAACATGGAACTACTGCCCTGAGATCAGGTTTAAACCGTAAATCATAAATACCTCCTGAAGTCTTCTTTAAATCAAACAATAGTTTAGCTTAGCGAGTAAAAATTCTACCTTGAGCATTATGTTCTTTTAAGAACTGCCTATGTGGGATCAAACAGACAACAGTAACTTACTTGCATTACTCCATTACTCCATTAGTCTGTCTATCTATCTATCTATCTATCTATCTATCTATCTATCTATCTATCTATCCATCCATCCACCCACCCACCCACCCACCCACCCACCCATCCATCCATCCATCCATCCATCCATCCATCCATCCATCCATCCATCCATCTATTCTCCCCCCTTGAACAGTAACTTTAAAGATTAGATGGGAACCTTATGAGGCAGTGAGTTTATGTTGAGGGAACTCAGAAAACCTGGTGAGAACGATGGCACAGTGTGAGAATGTTATCAATGTTACAGAGAAGTACAAAGAATGGTATACATAAAAATGGTTGATTTGGTGTATGTTGTGCTAAGTATATTCTCAACAATAAAAGTTCCAATACTTATCTGAAACTTAGATTATTAATGAAATGACCAACCAACAAACAAAACCACTGTCCTAAGACCCTATGGAATTGTCAAGAGCAAATACGCAAGCTCCCTCTCACTCTAAACACAAACTCAATGGCGTCCGTCAGGTCTGACTCAAAAGTGTCCCATAGGGTTTCCCAGGTTGTAAACTGTCATGGAGGCAAATGACCACATCCTTTTCCTGCAGAGCAGCTGGCGTGTTCAAACTGCTGACCTTCCAGGTAGCAGGGGAGAACTTTAACCACTGTGCCAGCAGGACCTTGTCTCTCTTCCCCACCCTCCCTCTTCCGACCCCCGAAATCCTCAAACACAATGTCCCTTGATCTAGCACACCAGATCACAGTACCTGTTCTGGGGGCCTCTTTGAGGCACCACACAACGATATACTTACTCGACAGCGCTGACTCATAGCGACCCTACAGGACAGGGTAGAACTGCCTCTGTGGGTTTCCCAGACTAACTCTTTATGGGAGTAGGAAGCCCCATCTTCCTCCCACAGAGCAGCCGGTGGTTTCAAACTTGCAGTTTAGCAGCCCAGCACGTAACAACTACGCCACAAGGCAGTATGCTAAGGGCTTTTCTTACCGACTTCAGTAAAGACAGGTGGCAGCAACACTGGCGGAGTCTCAGCAACTGTGACAATATGTGGACGGTGCTGGATCTCTGAGAGTTTGCCCCCATGGGATGTCCAGGCCCACTCGATCCAAACTCCTGGGCTACTTCCAAAAGAGAAAACAAACCATAAGAAATAGTCCAGGGTTGATAAAGAAAAACATGGGGCAGAAGCAAGCACTGAACAATCATGTTTTATACTTAGGTTAGAGATTCGACAATACAATTATAAGCCACTCTGTACCAACCAAGAATCAAGCCAAATGAAGCACTTCATTATAGACGTGTGATGTGACACTCTTCAGTCACATTTTGACTCACAGCAGCCCCAAATGACAGACGGCCGCCAGAGAGGCTGCCATCCTTCTAGAAGCAGAGTGCAGGGCTTCCCCCCACGCAGTTCCTGTGGGTGCTCCCACAGCCAGCCTTTCCACCGACAGCCCAGAGCTTAACCGTCACCCCACCGGGCCTCTCTTTAGAGACCTAACTAGGCTTTGTTTGTTTTGCTTTCTCTCTACATTTTATCATCTTCTTCTTGTTGAGTGCATACAGAGCAGGACAATCACCAATCTAGTGACGAAGACGACAGTCTTCTAGTTGTGTATTCTTACTCCCCCTTGCCGAGTTGTTCCTCCCCATCAACATAACTCATGCCTCCTAAGGCTCCTAGCGAGTCTTTAGTGTTACTGTTGTCATTTGATCCGATGTAGTTCTTGAAAGGGCATAATGCTACTCGTTACGTTAAAACGTGACTTGGTTTTAAGAAGACTTCGGAGGATATTTTTGGTTTAACATTGACAGATGATCTCCGGGCAATAGTTTCAAGGGTTCATCTGATCTTCATGGCTTCAGAGAGTCTGGAATCTCTGAGAATTTGAAATTCCATCCTACATCTCTCCTCTTTTGATCAGAATTCATCTATTGGAATCACTGATCAAATTGTTCAGTCATAGTTATTGGGCACCATCCAGCGTTTCTGGTCTCCTGGCAAAGGAGGCAGCCGTTCATGGAAGGTAATTAGCCACACACAGTCTATATGTTCCTCCTGTTCCTGACTTGCCTTCTTCCTTTGTGTCTCTAGGTCAGTCGAGACGAACTGTTGTATCCTGGGTGGCCCTTTGCAAGTTGTTAAGACTCCAGGCACTGCACAACCAATTAGGAGGTAGAACCAAAGCCCCAAGCACATTACTAGGCCAATTAACCGTGATGCCCCACGAAACCACAACCTCCAATCCCAGGACCCATGTTCCATGAGGTGTTTGGGTATACATAAGTAGCCTTAGCAGCCACTAATATCTATCATATAAATTCTGTCAAATCAGGGTTTACAGGTACACAACTTGATAGCAATTATCATAATTGGTTGTGCAACCCTGCCCTTAATCAATGTAAGGTTTCCATCACGTTTAGCCCATTCCCTTCTACCCCAGCTCGTGCCCCTGGTAATAACTAATTAACTTTGTCTATAGCCCCACCCACTTCCACTGCGTCAATTCCCTCGTGGTGATGTCACGTGACAGAGCAGAGCGGCCCTGTTTGGCTTCTGGGGCTGGACCGGAAAGCTTCGTCGCTCTCCCTCGGAAGAGCTGGTAGAGCGGCTGACCTTGGGGTTAGCCGCCCAACCCACATACCACCACGCCACCAGGGCTCCTGTGGTTTCTATGCCTGCATTTTAACCATAGAGATTTAGACAATCATGAAAAGTTAGCTTAGATCACTAGATGTTGTGTCTAACAAATCTGTGTAGTTTACTTTGGCTTCAGGTTCCTGGCTAAGGTCAAGTCTCTGATAACAAGAATTCATGATCTCATATAGCTGTTATATCATTAAATCTGAATCCACTTTCGTTCGCAGTGCCCCACTGCTTACCTCTACTGAAGGGATTTTCATGGCTCCTTCCACACGGTTTGTCCCCATTTTCATGTCTTTTTAGGTAGGACTGCAAAGCGGACCTGCCTCAGGTCAAAAGAGAAAATGCACGGAAGATTAAACTGCTTTACAATCGCTGCTAACAGTGCCTGCAGTAGAGCTCTGGAAAATGACAGACATGCGCTCGTGATATGTCATTATCAAAGCAAGCATTTGTCAAAGATCATAAAAAGGAATCATTGATTAAATCAAGGCATTTCTAAAAAAATATGCTAATAATACACACGAGGCACAGAGAGAGAAAATGTATTCACGCTGGAGGGAAGAGTCCCAATGGAAAGAGTGACTGCAAATCAGGAAAGGACAGGAGCTAGAGAGAGCACAGAGCCGGCGACGTGCAGGCTGACAGCGCAGTCTCTGCTTGTTTGCTTATTTCTGCTGCCTAAGCTCCCAGCGAGATGCTGCCAACCAACAGTCGAATAAAGAGAGGTAACTTCCCGGTACAGCCCCACGAGGCCCAGAGAGATGGGGTACATAGTGCCCACACCCAACCTAGGGCTTCTGTGCCAGGAAACCAATGAGAGAACAGGTTCAAAAGCCTTCAACAAGTATGTAAGGGAAGATAAAAGCCACCAAAGGGAAAAGAAGGCAGGGAAGCGGTGGTAAACCAACGAACAACAACATCATAAACAGAGTTAGAGGAACCATGACCCTCAACTCGCAACCAAGTGCAAATGGGAAGAAGCAGCAACCCGTGGGTGCTTCCCCACCGCACACACCTGGACTTTGCAAAGAAGACTTTGTAAACAGCCTCCTCATCTTCTGAGAGCTTTAAGTGGTGCAACTGGCATTGACGCCGGGGTAGCGGCACCTAGAAGAGATGACAGTCCTTCTCATCATCACGCAGGTGGGCAGGATGCTACACCCACTACCTCGCTAGGATCGAGCTGCTGCTCCAGCTCTGCCCAAGGAGAGCAGCCTCTGTGCGTCCATACAAAGCCGCCCGCTGTAACACGTGGCGTGGGACAATCACCCAACAGCCTCTTTCTCAGGAAAATGGTAGATTCAGAGGCTCCTCAAGCACAGCAGCAGGACTTTCAGCCCCAGACCCAGACCCAGACGTGGCCGTCCTCCCTGCCCGCCCTCCTCCTCCCCATCCCAGGGCCAGGTGTGAGTGAGATTTTACCAAAGGTTTGCCAGTGGCGTCCAGCTGGTTCTTTGTCCTCCTCAGCAAAAGGCTTCTCGTTAAAATACTTAGCCGCTCTCCTCCTTTCTTTGAGCCGTTGTCAACTTGACTCTTCCACAGACTGAAGTCATCAAACGGGGAACAACGGAGGAATCTTTTTCCCGTCATGGGAAGAGGGCAGAGTGGGGAAGGAGAGGTATGGGAGGATAAAGCAAAGATTCAAAGACATGAAATGAAAACCCAAACAGACTTTCTGTTACAGCTCTCATCCAGTCATCTTTGAAAATGATTTTCATAGCAGAGCTCTCTGGACGGCACATCAAAAGGGCAGCCCAGTCAGGAAGAAAACAACATTACAAAAATATGAGTTTTCCTATTAGCAATGTCCACAGCATCCATCACAACAGGACATATTACAATGGCTAGAATTTACTCTGGAAACTTCAAAGGGTAGCTAAAAAAAGAAACCTCCAAATGCTCTTCTGGGCTGACCAGAATAAAAGGATGGATTTAAAAAATCAGTATCTTTTCTGCTTGCTCAAATAAATTATAGCTCCGACACCCAAGCCAAGTGGTTTAAAGGCAAAATTCGCCCAAAACAGAAAGCGGTTTCCTTTCATTCAAACTGTCCTGTTTGTAAGCACAGGGGTGGAGCCTAAGCAAAATCTTGGGTCAGCCACTCAGTCAACAGAGGTTTGCTCATCCACAGTAACCCTTCCGTCCTTGAAAGGCTGACGGGCTTGCCTTCTGCTCTGTGAGAAATGTGGCTGGCCCAGGAGCTGTCCCACAAGACGTGATGTAATTATGAAGGATGACCCACAGGGTCTGCGGTTTACTCACTTCAGCAACGAGTACATGTCCAACAGGTTGTTCTGAATGGGGGTCCCAGTGACAGCCCAGCGGGCATGGGCTTGGAGTTTACACACTGCTATGGACGTCTGCACTCGGGGATTCTTGATATTGTGAGCTTCATCCAAGATGACTCGGGCCCACACCACTTGAAGCAAAGGTACTGAGATGCCCTGAGAAAGACAAGTAAACTCCAACAACAGCATGGAACCACGCACATGGGCTCACACGGAGGGGGGACAGACAAGCAAGTATGGGGGACTGATTCTTACCTCCGAACGCGAGGGCTATGACAGGCACACTGACAAGCCTGACGTTTGAGAAACCAGAAGTAGAAACTCCCAAGAGGCACTGAGACACATGTCACTTGCAAGTCCAAGTGCTTCCGCTTAAGGTGCCTCATAGTAAAACGTTTTCTCAAGTTTATTTTCGTCCATTCTTTCCATACCTTTCGAGCATGGGCCAGAAGGATGCTAGATGTTCAGCCTGCGGATTCACCTAGTCAACCAAATAGTTCCTGCACTTACTAAAATTCCCTAAACATTTACAAAAAGTCCACTGTTATATGGAAGCTGTGCAGCCAGACATAAAGGACCGTTGCTAATCTCAAGAGTTCAATCTAGTGGGGGAGAAAAGGAAGTATAAAGGCAATGTGAATATGGTATATATGCAATAAATTCACGCACGATTTAGTGCTCAACAGGAGTCAGTCAGCTCCCTGCTGTGCTCACGCCAACACTTGAATAGTGCCTGGCTCAGAGCACTGCTGTTAGGGGCTGCCGGGTCCACTCGCAAACTCCAGGCTCCATCCGAGAGCGAGCAGGACAGCCCGTGGGCTTTCCTGGCTGCGATCTTCACTGAAGTGATCCCCATGTCTTTCATCCAGAGTGGTGTCAAGCTCTTGGGTTAGCAGCCAGGTGCGTCACCTGGCTTCTTGGCTCGGAAGAGATACTTGTGGAATAGATGGAGTACTATGGCATATGTAGGGCGCTCTGGTGGTGCAGTAGGTTATGGATCGGCCTGGTCATTGTAAGGTCAGCAGTTAGAAACCACCAGCCACTACTCGGGAGAAAGAGGAGGTTATCTGCTCGTGCAAGTATTTCCAGCCTTGGAAACACTATATAAGGTTGCTATGAATCAAAATCGACTCAATGGTCTAAGTTTGTCTGCTTTCTTTGTGGGGGGTGGGGATGGGGTTGTTATGATGCACAGAAGCGCAAGGTTCTATAGAAGGCATTCAACCAAAAGAGGGAATGCTGGTCCAGAAAGGGCTTCTCGAGCAGAGAAAAGCAAATTAGCCTGGGCGAAGGGGCCAGGGCTGGGGGAGCACAAGTAGCATTTCCAACAAAGGAAGAACAAAGCCCCACAGTGCGACCGTCGGGCAGAACCACACCTCCTTGGTGTGATGGAGCACCCGTGAAGTGCCCACAGGCAGAATGGTGCAGCAAGAATTGTGGGATGTGGCGGGAGGGGAAAGATCATAATAAAAAGCCCGGCATATCATGTAAAGGGTTCTGAAATGTATCCGCAAATGAATGGGGGGACAAAGATTACTCATCTGTAGGAAGTCAGAGTTGCTAATCTGTGACTAGTCTATTGTACTAAAACTGAAAGCAGTTCCAAGAACTAATCTTTTGTATAACACTTTTCCTGGGGATAGAGGCTTTCAGTGATTAGCAACAACCCCTCTACTCTGCCGGAACCCTCCTGCAAACATTCAGGTTTGGCCTGTGATTGTCACTGAGCATCTGCTCCAAGTGCAGCGAGGGGAGTTGGAGTCTCTTTTTCTGGGGGTGGGAATGAAGGGGTGTTTGCAAGAAAAGGAGGCAGGGAATGATGAAGTAAGGCCCAAACAGCAGTATTTTAAAACTAGCCATCGTTATAAATCAATAAAAAAATCTACCAAAGGATATACCCCCAAATATTCTGAAATAAAATTTTCAAGATATCACACAGTCATGTGATATTCCTACAATGACCATGTGGCTACCTTTCATTTTCAGAAACAAGTAGGGGCTGTGCCAAATCCCACTCTCCGTCATGGAGAGACGGGTCAGGGAGCTCTGCTCAGCAGCAGAGCATGTAGGGCAGCTCTGACCGCACCAGAAGGTGGTTTTATGAACTCTTGACAGCCCTTCAGCCTCACCTGCACACTGAGGTTTGCACCTGGGACCTCTCCCTCCTGCTTCTTTGTGGGAACTTCCTTGGCCAGAAGGCTGTAGGTCGTGATCACGATATCATAGGAGGCGAGGCTGCATACAGACAAGACACAGAAAATGGTACAAGGTCTTCCTCTGAACTCTGGTAATGTATAGCTAACCCTCTTAGACACCTATGCCTATGGGGTGGGAAGGCAGATGGCAGAATTCACTAACTTGTGCCTTTATCCACACCCACAGTTTTGGAGAGGCAAGCTTGACCCACCCACTTGGCTCCTGGCCTTGACCTCTGGTCATTTTCAGTCTTGTCACTGTAGCCAGAGCAGCCTCTTCCCAGCCACTGAGCCAAAAGGGAAGCATTTCTGGCTGTGATGCATGTGCAGCTTAACAAGGATTTAAAATGAGATGATGCTAAGGTTCCAGGGTAGTAAGAAACCCTCAAATCACTGTTACCCACAAATCAGCACAGCGTTCTCCTTACCGTTCATAATTTATGTGTATGTGCAAACCCAAGGACTCTACTGACATGTAGGCATACATATATGTGCTATCTGCTTTCAGTTATCTTGCTTGTACATTTTACAGAAAGATTTATAATGAAAAGCACAAATGTTTTCCCTATGAATCTTTATGTGGGGAGTCCAGAAAAGTTCATGAAAAATGCATAATATAGAAATACTAAGCATGAATTTAAATTTAAAACATTTTTGCACCAAAATAACTTTGCCTGAACAGGATCTAATCTGAGGCACTAAGAAGAATACAGCATCAGTTAAAAAAAAAAAAAGCCCCTAGAAAAGTTATGCAAACTTCTTAGACATAACCAGACTCCTTGAGGGAATGAGTCTCTGGGTCTAAGGAACCAGGACTATAGTCCCAGGGCACCAAGGTCACGTGGCCTCACGTCATTCACCGAGATATGGTTCTAAATCCTACTTTGGTGATAATAACGAGTGCAACTTTGGTCTTCCCTCCCAGAAGAATGATAAAAACTGAATAGATCGTGCAAATGTTAGTCTCTACAACCCTGAGACCAGTAGAACTAGATGGCGCCCGAGTACCACTACCAACTGCCCTGAAAACTATCACATTTGAAGGTGCTGGATAGAGTGGGAGAAAAATATGGAACAGTATCATAAGAGACCAGGCTTCCCGGTTGGATAAGAGACTGATGGGACCCCCGGGACTATGGCCCTTAGTTACCATTCAGGTCTAGAATGGAATCACCCTGTGTTAGGAAAGAAGGAAGAATGGAAATAGGAAACAGGTGGGACACAGTGCTGGTGCATTAGGGGATTGCAAAGGCTACCAAGAGGTCGTAGTCCGTCCAATCAATGCAAGAGAGGGCCAGTCACGAGCAAAGGCCATGGCAACAGTGCTTGGGGATGCTTACAGCATCTTGCTGATTGACTTTCTGGAAGGTTAAGGATGACAGCATCTGCTTACTGTGAGATCGTTTCAGGACAGTTCCCAGAGCCTCGGCAGACAAACCACTGGGAACCATTGACCAGAGTCCTTCTCTACACAGCGATGCGTCTGCTCACTTCTCCCATCAGATGGAAGCTTTATGGGAAACCATTAGGCATTCACCTGACAGCTCTGATTTGGCTTCTGACTTTTTGTATCCTGATCTTAAAAAAAAAATCTTTAAAGGGCACTCATTTTCCTTTGGTTAATATAAAATGAATTGGGTTGACATGGTTAAATTCCCAGGACCCTCTCTTCTTTAGGGATGGACTGAATGGCTATCAAAACTTATGTGTGTCTTGATCTTGACTAATGCTGAGAAACAAAGTTTATATATTTTTATCTTTTAATTCTATTTTCCCATAAACGTTTTTGACATCCCTGGGTATTGTGTATCTGATAAAATTCCAATAAATACTTTTGATTAAAATGGTATGGCTGACTTAGAAAGGAAGCAATGTCTACATGTTGACTAATATATCCCTCTAAACTAAACTGGCTGCCATGGAGCTGATGTGACCCTTTGGAACAGGGCAGAACTGTCCTGTGGGTTTCTAAGACTGTAACTGTCTACCAGAGGTAGAAAGCCTCATCTCTCTCCTGTGGAGAAGCTGGTGGTTTTGAACTGCTGACCTTGCAGTTAGCAGCTCAACTCTAGCTATAATGGAGAATGATTTCAATCAGCCTCCCAGCCACACTGTGACTCCCACCAAAGTACAATCAAGGTGCACATCCAGGGAGACCTACCTTTGAGTAACATTCTAGAATACATGCGGGTGACTCACAGTATTCTATGACAAAGGGGGCCCGTAGCTAGCCACTGCTGCCCTGCGGAAGTGACTCCCAGTCATGAGAGTTGGTGGGGTACAAATTTGGCAAGTCACCCCTAAAAGATTGCTACCCCCTAATTTAGGAGACAAAATATCCAGTATTGGAGGCTGGGTAGCGCGATTGCCTAGAAGTAGGAACAACCTGAAGAGATCAGCAAGTGATTCCACCCAGATCCACATATCACGATTAGAAGCAGAAAACAACGCCTTCAGAACCTAAGGGCAAAGACTAATAAGACTTCGTATTACGTCTAGAGAAACATTTTCTTTCCTCTTTGAGACTCATTCCCTTGAGGATCAAACTCCAACCTGGTCCATATATGAAAAACACACATGAAAAAATGGAGTCCATCAATATCAAGAGTAGGTTCCTCTGGGGGGGCCACACTGAGCGGCCGGCGATTCAGATCCACCCTGGGTGCCTCAGAAGAAAAGCGTGAATGAGCACAGAGATCGCAGAGCCTGTGGTGTCTGCGGTGACATTTGTAGAGTTGTTGTGAGTTGGGCTTGACTTGGTGACACCCGGGAAAAAGCATCAAGAAGAACGGCAGCTATCAGTCACTTGAGTAAGACTAGGTCGATTCCATTCAAATGAAGGGAGAGAGGCAGAGTTGAGTGCAGACATTCAGCAGCTGTGAAATACTTACCACACAGCCCTTTCCCAGGGGGACTTTTGTTGCCACTTGACTGACGGCTAAGGTATCTTTGGGCTCCTTCCGCCACAAAGCCAAACCCACTACCATCAAGTCAGTTCTGACTCACAGCGCTCTTGTGGAGGCTTTCCAGGGGAGCCAAGCAAACAGCCTCTTCTCTCTAAGCGGCTGGTGGGTTTGAACCTACTTTAGGGTCAGCCGTGCAATGCTCACCCAGCAGTGCCACCAGGGCTCCTCACGGGGACAAAGAAACATCAAAAGAACACATTCTCTCACGGGCACTTCTTAGCACAGTCTGAAGAATGAAAACATGCCTGTGGCCTTTATTAAACACTGCTCTTCGCCGCCGCCGCCGCCGGGGAGTTGGTCCCCACCTTATATTAACCCCACCCCCAGCCCCAGCACAATGGGATTGGATCACTGTGATCCCTTGTGGCAATTATGTAATCTGTCAACTGGCAAAGGGGTGGAGTCTAGCCTGTCAATCAGGTCACAGCCATTGAGGCATCTTTGTGGGCATGGCCTTCTCCTGAGGATTCTGGGAACTCCTATCTTCCTCCCTCCCGGGAGGTGGGACACACACTCTCTCCACTACATTTCCTGTTGACAAACCATATAGAGACACACTGATGGCAGGCCAGAGCCCTGGAGTTAAGAGTAGCCATGTGGAGACCCACACCAGCACTGAGATGCTTCCACTGCCACTGGATCTACAAGACTTTCTATCAACTGACCTGTGATCTTCCTATATTTGGCACTACCGCATGACTGTGTGAGTTTAAAGAGGAATTTATGAACTAGTATCAGACATGGGCTAATATTGGACTTATGGACTAGATCTGGGCTGGGCTGGGCTGGGATGTTTCTTAATATACCATTGTTCTTTGATATAAAGTTCTCTCACAAACATATGAGTGTCTCTGCACTTATTTCTCTAGTCAACCCAGACTAACATATCCATGGAGATGTCGTTGGTGGATTTTTCACAAGTCTGTCTCCAGGCCTTTCTGCTTAGTCTGTCTTAGTCTAGACATAGACTCCCAAACTTATTTAGCCAACCACACACACCCCCCTTTCAGAAAACAAACAAACAAAACCCTCAGCGTTCCCCAGGCAATGAAAACATTTGTACTACAGCCCATCATCCAGGACAAAGTTAGGTGTCTGCCTTTGCAGCCCCTCAAGATGGATTCAGTGCCCTGCAGGGGCGGTGTCACCCACTTTGAGAAACCTGCTGAAACACATTCAGCATCGTAGCAACACTGAAGACTACACTATGAGACCACTGCCGGTGAAGACTGAACATGAGACACATCAGCTTGGAATGGCCCTCACATGAATGAAGGCAAGAAGTCTCCCTCTGAACCACAACAGCCTCCTACAAATATCACTGGGCTTCATAAATAAACCGTGGTCTCTCCTACCCATCCCTATCAGTCCAGGTCAATGTGGGTCCTTGCACCAAGGTGCTGAGCCGCTGGAAGACTGGGGTCTTTCTGCACTTACACTCTTGCACGTTGATCCCGGTTTGGTCCGTGATAGAGGTAGATTCTCAGTTTGCTGTGGCCCACACGTTTCTCTACCTCATTTTTCCAGTGGTGGATCAGGGACGCTGGGCAGATAATGAGTGTTCCATGAGAAGTAAAGTGAGAGGACTCTTGAGTGAGAAAAATAAATCAGCACCTAGTTAGATTCATGAACTTGAGCTTGTGCCGGCACTGTTTCTTTCTCTTCACTGATTACATTATTCTTCCAATCAATATTTTAAACAACTGCTGCTCTTAAGCCCAAGCACTTAGTGATTTACTTTCTCCCATAAAAATGTCAAAGGGCCACCAGACTATTGAGGGAGAAGTGCACAGACTCGGTCTGAAAAGGCAATGCAGTCCCACAGAGTAGCCGGAGGGGAGAAGCTAGACTGCTTCCTAACTCACTCTGCCAGACTTGATTCGGGGTAGCATCTCGAGTTTTTTTCTGAGGAGCCTGACTTGATGTACATCCACACTAGAATATAAATACAAAACCCTCTCACGGGAAACAAGCAATCGTTTGGAATGTTCGCTATCACTAGTACCATTGTGCCTCTGCTAATACAGTGTGTGTGTGTGTGTTCCTACTCTGTGCAGACATGTGACCCAACTGCGGTGAGGTTCATTAGAGGCCCTGAGAGTAGACAGCCTCAGGTGACTTAGCTCTCTAACCAGCTGAGTTTTCTATTTGTGTACATGGCAACTTATATGTGGTGTGCCTACACATAAGATCTTTTTGAAATTATTGTGAGACATTGAAATACGAAGACACAGGAGGAGACAAGGCAGAAATGATCTATAATCTTCCTGGTCATTTCTGTTTGTAGATCACATGGAAACTAGTTACTCTCTGGTGGTACCCATTGGAATGTACAATAGACCTTTCTGAAAAACGATACATAAATTTGTAGTTCTAGCCTCACCATTAACAAAAATAATAAATGCTACACTTAAATTAGGCCTTCCAGAGCCCTAGCTTTCTTCATAAAAATTTTACCCCAATTGCATGTCAAGCTAAGTTTATATTAGAGAACATATAATTAGCACACTTGGCATCAGAAATGATAGCACAAGAAAGTAGGCTAACACTGGTTTTCTAGGTTAATTAAGCATGACCAAAAGCATCCTCAAGTTTAAAACATTTCCCTTTTGCTGGCTTCAATGATTTAGGACGCGACAAGCTACTAAGGCACTTTCATATACCATTTTTAGAAAGCCATGTAATGGAGTTCCTGTCCTTCTCTTTGTCTGTCTCTTGATTCTTCTGGGTCAGGATAAGAGCAATCATTGTCAGGGTTTTTCCCAAGCCCATATCATCCGCTGGGGTTGGAAAAAACAGGAGAGTTAATTACTTGGGGCAAAAAAACAACAACAAAAAATCAGCTCAGATTCAAGAAACAATAACCACTGGCAAACACATATAGTCTTCTTCTCTCTGGTGTCAGTGCAATTCCAGTCCCTATCGCCGAAGCCAATTAATCCTTCATCTCCCTTTTAAAATGACACGTAGTGATTGCTATTTATTTTGAGATCTAGGTCAAAGACATTTACTACAACTCTTGTGAAACTGAAAACATTCTTTGGATCTTATTTTAGTCTCCTTGCTATATTGTTACCTATTTAATGTATGCATTTACACAATAGGTTCCCAAACTTATTTGGCCTACCACCCCCTTTACATTAAAAAAGAAATTACTCAGTGCCCCACCCCCTGCAAAATGTTTGTACAGTAAGCCCATAAACCAGAATAAAGTGTAGGTTTCTGCTTTCACCATGCTCCTGGATCATTCCAAAGGAGCCCTGGTGGCATAGTGGTTATGTACTGGGCTGCTAACCCTAAGGACAGCAGTTTGAAACCGCCATCTTGTCCGTGGGAGAAAGACAGGGCTTTCCACTCTCATAAAGGTTACAGTCTCAGAAATTCAGAGGCAGTTCTGCCCTCTCCTGGAGGGTTGCTATGCATCAGCACTGACTTGATGGCGGTGAATCTGGTTTGGTTTTGGATTATTCCTGTGCCCCCTCCCCCAAGGGGGCACTATTGCCCACTTTGCGAAACACTGACTTGGCTTTCTACTTTTATAAAGAGTTACAGTCTTAGGAACCAACTGGGGCAGTTAGATTTGATGGTGTTGTCTGGTCTTTTTATCAACCCCCAAACAAAAGATCCAGTAGCTATCTCCTACTACTGACTTTACAGGGATGACCGCATTTCTGGAGATGGAGTTTCTCAAACAGCCCTCTACTGCCTTAACAGCCCCAAACATTCCTTGCACCAATTCACAAAGCGGGGTGCAAATGAGCACTTCTTGGGTACTATCACTGTGCTGGCCACCACCGAGGCGTATCTATTGACTATTATTCTCATTTCAATAGATGAAGAAACCCAGGTTCCGTCTGGCCACTCTAAGAACTTAAAATAATCACTCCAACATACCAGATGGAAAATGACAGAGCAGGGTTCCGGTGCAAACTCGGGCTCTACCCTGTGCCGAAGAGTGACTGTAGCAGGCCTGAGTGCTATCTCTCAAAAGGCCAAATAAACTTGGGTTTGGGGAAGGTTCTCACCATCCCAATTGCAGATAACAGTGGCTTGCTGTGCATAAACTGTAGAAACAATATGGTTTCTGCTGGAATTTTCGTATAGGTCAAGTTAAGGCTGCCTGTGTGACCAGCTCCCCACGCTGCTGAGTCTAATGAGCTTCCCTGGTTGTTAACACTCCACTTGGCAAGCAAGCAGTAGGAAAGTGAAGTGTCCTGGGTGCGTTCACTGGGAAACGCCCCTGGAAGCTCACACCTGTTTCCCCTGAACCTTGCTCCATGTGCTGCTTCCCTTCGTATCTCTCATGATCATAAATATGGTATAGCCATAAAGATGGCGATACTCTGCGAATGCTGCTGGTGAATTGTCAAGCCTGGGGGTACTCTGGGGAGCCCCTGGGCCAAAAAGGAGTTAATGAGGCAGGCCACAGTGGGCACTTGTCATGGAAGTTAAGTACCTTGGACAGTGTCTTGTTGGGTCCCAAGGCAAAGCATGGAAAACTTCCTTTCCAGCCTCCTGGGCTGCTAAGGCACTGGCGGCCTGACCTCTCCACAGCCCAGAGGGATTCACACTGCAATTCAGATGTAAGCAACCGGAGAAAAGAGGTTCCCTATGGGACCTTCCCTGGAGTCAGTGCGAGGCGCAGTGGTTTTCTCCAGTGCGAGGTGGAGCAGAGCACCGGGGACAGTCCACGCTCCATTTAGGTCTCGGTTTGGGCATTGGTGGGAGGAGTTTGGTCTCTGCCCTGGCCCTCCACATCTACAGAGCCTATGGGCCACTACAGAATAAACTTCTCTGCTTCATCTAAAACAGAGGTTCTCAACCTGTGGGTCGCGAGCCCTTAGTGGGTCGAATGACCCTTTCACAGGGGTCGCCCGATTCATCATGGTAGCAAAATGACAGTTATAAAGTAGCAACAAAAATAACTTTATGGTTGGGGGTCACCACAACACGAGGAACTGTCTGAAAGGGTCGTGGCATCAGGAAAATTGAGTACCACTGCTCTAAAATGAGCCCTGATGGCACAGGGGTTATGGGTTGGGCTGTGATCCACAGGTCAGCAGTTTGAAACCACCAGCCGCTCCTCGGGAAAAAGACAAGGTTATCCACTCCCATACAGCATTACAGCCTTGGAAGCCACAGGGACCTTTCTACCCTGACCTCCAAAGTCGCCATGAGTCGCCCTCTACTCGCTGGCAGGGAGTTTGAGTTTCTGCTTCATCTGCTAGATGAGGCAGCCTCCCCTGCTTACAACCCGAACTTCGGATGGAGCCACTAGTTGTGTGCTCTTAGGCAAGCTGCTGAAGGTGCTTTCTCCACCTGTTTCCTCTTCTGGAAAACGGGAATTAGAGAATCTCCCCCATAGGTTTGTTGTGAGAATTAGTTAAGACAACATAAAGAAAACATTTAGCATAATGTCTACGCATTCAGTAAATGCTGGCTCTTATTATAATGCCAAACTTACCCAGAATGCCTCCTTGTGGCTTCTGACGTTCTCGCCATAGTAGCCAGGCTAATGCCTGCTTCTGATGCAGAAGCAAAGGGACCTAACAAAGGTAGTAGCCAAACGTTACATACGAAGTGCCTGATGAGAGAGAGGCCAGGCTGTGTCCCAGCTACCTGGGCCCTGTGCTCCACTCCTCTGCTTCCTGTTCTTCTTTAGAAGCGATCCCCAGTAGTCTAATTGTCATCCTAGAAGCTGCCCGCTTCCCCCAGAAGTACTTGACTCGGCCTGCTCTTTCACTGTGGCTAATCACACACCCTGATCTCACAAGGCCGAAGAAAATGTTCTACAACCAATTGTGGTGATGATTGTACTAGTGGATTTTATGAATTTTATGAATTAGATGCCGATAGAACTGTTGAGGGGGGGAACCCTGATGTAGGCTCATTGTCCAGCCTTACAATGAAGACGGTCCTGGTTTGTCTGCTTAAGCAGCTGAAGCCCATTTTTACCGCTCCCAGTTACGACCATTGTCCGGTCACCCTACTTGCACCAGCCATTCAGTTGGCTTTTTCTCCTTATCTCTTAAATGTGAATCTCTTCGCTACAGCCCCCAGCTGGCCCATAATGCCAGCCACACACACCAGCCAGTCTTCCTTTGGAGCCCTTTCTTAGTTTCTCTTTCACTCTGTGACCAAAAAATAATACACCCTCTCAAAGCTGTATAGTGACTCTTAAGCTATTCACGCTCAGTTCCTGTCTCGATGCCAGGTTCCCAGTCCGTCTGCTCCGTGATGCAGCTGCTAGGCCCTGGGTCCGGTGCTGACCACCCTATCATTTAGCAAGGCCAATCTCTGCACCTGCCTCCCACCACTCCTACTCATGGCAGGGCTGGGCTTCTGTCTTCTCTGCTGTCACTGGGTTGACCACGCCCTGAAGGCGTAAAATAGGCAGGTGATAACTACTGACCTCGAGTGAACACACCTTTTTTTTACAGAGAAAATCCCCTTTGCACCTCATAACCAATCTACAGGTTGTTAAGATACACGCTTTTACCTTTCTTTTTTAAAAAAATCATTTTATTAGGGGCTCATACAACTCTTATCATAATCCATACATACTTCATACCTTTCTTGTCTTTAAGACGTTTCCTAATTGTTTCAGGTTTCCTGTGGATGCACTTTGCCTCAACTAGTCCCATAAGATCAGCCATTCGTTTGCGTCCTTGTGGCACCTACTGAGACTCCCTAAAGGAGTCCTTTATACAGAACGGCACTGGGCCGCCAGTCCAGAGCCGACTGTCTGCCTGGGCGCTGGCCCCGCTGCTCCAGGGCACGCAGCCCTGGGAGGCGTCCCGGCTCACCTTCAACCCAGGAGGATCTTCTGCCACCGCCGTCTCACCAGGACAAGACCCAAGTGACCGATGCAGCTCGTCGATGGCTTCACTTGTGATTTTCCACACCGAGTGAAGGCGATCCTGGCCTGCATGGCCCGAGTTCACATGGGTGTTCCCTAAAACAACAACAAATATTAGGCCCTGGCTAACCACCACCACCATCAACAACAACAACACTCAGAGCCATCGAGTTGGTTCTCACTCACAGCAACCCTTCGGGCCAGGGTAGAACCGCCCCTGTGGGTTTCTGAGGCTGTAATCTCTACGGGAGTAGAAAGCCTCAGGTTTCTCTCCCTCTGAGAGGCTGGTGGCTCTGAAGGCTGACCTTGAAGTTAGCATCCCGATGCATAAATCACTAAGCTGCGCAAGTCCTGGTTAGAGATGCAAAACAGGCAATTCTGTGTCATGCAAAGCACCGTGCACTGACCAGAAACCGTAGGTGGCTCGGCCATCACTGTGTTACTAAGCGATGCTGTCACAGCACAGTGTTCTCCAAAGGCGTCTGAGCAGCCCACGCTGCCATGCTGCCTTAACAAGTCCGTCCTCTCCCTTCCCTTGCAGGGTGGCCCGGGCTTCAACTGGCACTCTGTCCACTTCTCGCCCCTTGTTACAGGCAGCTCTTCAACTCTTTCTTACTTTCCTTTTTCTCTTTCTTCTCCCTTGTTCCCTTTCTATAGCTCTAGCACTTAACAGTTGAGAGAAAGACTGGCTTTAGCGTTTATGGTCCCTGCCTGTCAACTTGAGCACCTGCCTTCTGATCAGCAAACCAAATGATCATCTTCCAACTTTGAGACTCACTGGGGCTCGTCATTCTGCAGTGACTTCTGCATGCACGGCTCTTCTGGAAGGGCCCGGATGGAAACCGTTGGCTGAAGAGGAGTTGCTGCTCGCTCTGGGCTTACTAGCCACAGGTCTTCACTTGCGTCAGCCCTCTGCTCCCAGTGCATGCGTGCGTGCACACACTCAAGAAGGAGTAAGATCATCTCCGATTTTCTCTCCTGTTCGCGTAAGCTCACCTAATCACGTGAGTTAAGTGTTCGTTCACAAACACTGCCTAGAACACTATGTGGTCTAGGCACTAGGCCAGCTGGTCGGAACGGTGGTGAACATGGTCCACAGTCTCTGGCCGCGCTGAGAGACAAACGACACAGTTCAAACCTCAAGAGAGCACCAGCATTTCATTCCTTGGACAAGTGACACTCAAGACGAGCTTCTCCCAGCAAGACATAAAGCCATTTATCAGGTGCTTGCCGGTGTCACAGGAGCCCTGGTGGCGCAGTGGCTACGCAATGGGCTGCTGACCACAGGGTCAGTCGCTGGAAACCACTCGCTACTCGTTGAGAGGAAACCAGGCTTTCTATTCCCATCGTTATGGGTCACGGTTTCAGAACCTCCCAGGGACCGTTCCACCCTGTCCTATCGCGTCGCTCTCAGTCAGCACTGACTCGATGGCCGTGAGTTTTGTGGGGTTTGTAGGTGTAACTGTTCACACCAGGCCCAGGCCCTCTAGTCTTACCTCCACGGGACTGACTGGATCCTCCAGCATTTAGCCCTAGAGATCCGGAAGGCCGGGGACCCTGACTCTTCAGGGGCTTGGGAGGCACTAAGTGGCCAGGGCCCGTGGTCGTTTGGATGCTGCTACTCTTTCCTTGCTGGGGGACTTGAGTATTACTCTTCTCATTAGTCCCTGCTCAGAAACAAAAGGAAGCATAAGTCAGAGATGAGAAAAGGGACCATGATGGGTGGGGGTGAGGCCACTGGGGTGGTGGGGTCATCGATGTTCCAACAAGCCAGAGAAGCTCTCCGAGAGAAAGGAAGATGCTAACGGTTGATTACATCATGGGGAAGGGAGCTTAGGCCCAGGGAAACCCCTTTTGTTTCTTTAGAAGTCCAAAGGAGAATACAATGGGAGGGTGAGGGAATCTCTTCTCTTTTAGCAAAAGGGCTCCCAGAGGCCTCTCTGAAAGTTCGCTTGGACCCCAAGCGCTGTGGCAGAACCCCGTTACCTGGCTCTGGGGAGAGGGTGAGCGTGCCGAGTGCCTCCTCCAACGCCCGGATTTGCTCAAACAGCTTCTGACCCTTGTCTGGAAGCGCCTGCAGGTTCACGGACGCCACTGTGCTCTGGAAAACAGGTCTCATGAAGTGGAGTTTTCTCCCCTAAAGCTGTTAGAGGGGTCGCTTCAGAGTAACCTACGGGTGTGTCTTTTATATTCCCTTGGATAACAGCTGTCTACGTATACAGGGAGGGTTTTTCTTTTTTTTTTAGTTATTTTACTTATTTATTTTTAGGGGCTCATACAACTCTTATCACAATCTATACATACATCAATTGTGTAAAGCACATTTGTACATTCATTGCTCTCATCATTCTCAAAACATTTCCTCTCCACTTAAGCCCCGGCGTTAGGTCCCAGGGAGGGTTTTTCAAAAGTGTGTTGAAAAAGCCCAGTCTTTCCACAAACTTTTTGAAGTATCATGTACCTGTGGGGGTTACCTTTTTACTGTTTTTAACGGGGGGAAGAAACACCACTGCCTTCTTTTATTTTCCCCATAGTGATTTTAAAGGAGTCCTTGTGGTACAGTGGGCTACACACTAAGCTGCTACCCCAAGGCCAGAGGTTCAAAAACACCAGCCACTCTGCGAGAGAGCGGAGCTATCTGCTCCTGACAGGGTTTGTAAAGTCTCGGAACCGAAGGGGCAGATCTACTCTGTCACGTAGGGTTGCTACAGTCGGAATTAACTCTGTGGCAACATTTGGGTTTTGAGGTTTGGGTGGTTGTAAAGACCCTACCCCCAGACTCCGCAGCACTGGCCCATGGGTGAGGCCGAGGACATGCGCTGGCCATGAGCCCTCAGGCTTTGTCCAGCAGGCCGGCGGCCTCAAGCAGGACTGGGTGCTCTCCGCTCCCCCACTAGCCACCTCTTGCTCCACCACTCTCAGGAGCCACTGCGGCTGCTGCCGGCTCCCAGAAGCCCCTCCTCTGGCCTCTGCCAGCAGCTGTAGCAACAACACGGACAACTGGAAGTGGCTCCAACAGGGTTTTAATGCGTTCATACAATGTCCAAATCACACACTGTCCTACATCACTAAGCTTACTGTGGACACTAAGCAATGGATACCTGAATCCTAAAATGCGAAAACTAGTCTTTTCACCACATATGTGAAAAAAGCTTTTTTTAAGGCCCAGCTGATTTCCCAATTTTTAAATGAAGCACATGGAAAGGAGGAAAAGGTTTTATGAACATCTCCACTGACAAGACCTTTTCCACATGAATACATGGCCCCTTCTGGGGGTCCCCCTACCTGCGGCAACCAGCCATGGTCTGACCTTAACACGGAACACCAGCCAGCACGTACCTGCTTTTGTCTCAGCTGTGTTGTGAGATACACCCGCTGGGCCGCTGGGTCTGACGGCTCTGCCTGGTGGGAAACACCTGAGTTGGGAGAGATGTTTCTTTGCTCAGTTTGACGAGGCAGCTTAAGACTGTCCTTCTTCCGTGAGTCCAAAGTCAAGTCACGCAGGGGCTTCCCTGGCTTAGAGGAAACAAAGACAACCTCTTGCTCCTGGCTGTCATCGCTGCTTGTGTCGGCTTTCCCGCCCTCCCTCACGGAGAGGCCTGCTGCTGCTGCTGCTGCGGGCACAGAGCGGGCAGCTGGTCCTGGTGCAGCAGGCACTGCAGTGGGTTTCCGCGGGGCCCAGGACCTCTCGTCGGGGGGCCTCTTTGGGGCCGTCTGTGTTTTCGAGTCCTCCTTTGCTTTTGTCTCGGTCGCCTCCCCAGGCTTGGGCTGCTCCTTGCTGAGGTGGCCCCCTTTCTGGGGCTTGTGGATTGGATTCTGACTGCGGCCATTTACAGGCCAACGTCTGGTTTCCTTTTGTCTCCAGGCTTCTGCTTCTGTTGGGGCATCGTCACTCGGCCCATTTGATTTCTCCTGAGAAGACGCCGGTGGTTCTCTTGGGCCATTCCCCAAGCACCTGGGGGGTCTAACAGCAGCAGGGTCTCTTTGGTGTGGATCTTCGGACTCCTTGGCTTCACACGGAAACTCTGCTCTCTCCTCGTGCTGCTTCTCTGGAACTGCAGATGGGTCTTTCTTCAGCCCCGGGCCGGCTGACGGAGCGCTCTCCATCGAGCCTTTAGATCCAGGCTTCTGTTCCTGCTTTCGAGCCAGCTTAGCGTCTTCCTTTTCTCTTTGCGCACCACCACCAGCCTTCTCTTCCTCGTCTTCACCCCTGATGAGCTGTTTCCAGAGAGATGGTTCTTGATTCTTGTCAAGAACCTTGAACGGGTTTCTCTGCTGGCTGGGAAGAGGATGAAATAGTTCGGAGGCATCCTGACCCTTGCTGGTGACAGAATGTTCTTGGGAGGGACGATCCTAAAAGGTAAAGGAAATAATGGATCTCAATATAAAATACTGATGCAATGCTTACATCTAGACAGCCTTTTCCAGAGCATGCGGAAACACGGCAAACCTCCCCATATTTATAAACAGTCCTGGGGCAACTACCTGCCTCTAGAATGGACCATGTACCAAACGCCAAGTTAATATCTTCTAAACAATGCTTTTGTTTGGTCCCTTCTCTGTCAATGATTATAGGTTCTTTGGGCTTTCAGAAAAGTAGTCAACACGCAATCAAAAAGAATCATTCAAATGAAAAGATTATAGAGTTTCCATTAATATATTGGACATATTTCCACTTCTCCTGCTAATCCAAGGTGTCTCACCCTTATCACTCTAATTTTGGGTTACATCATTTTTGATTGGGGGGCTGTCCTGCATATTATAGGATGTTTGGCAGGACTCCTGGCTCTCCAAGCTGGATACCTGTTGTGACAACCAGAAGTTGTGACGACCAGAAACATCTCTTAAACACACTGCCTTCTCATGCAATCAGAGTCACAGCCACCCTATAGGACCACATGTAACTGGCCCTGCAGGTTTCTGAGACTAAATCTTTATGTGACTAGAAAGCCTCATCTTTCTACTGCAGAATGGCTGGTGGTTTCAAACTGCTGACCTTGCAGCTCTGGACATTACTAAATGTTTACTGGAGGCTGAAATCACACTAGGTGAAGGACCACGGCTTTCAGTCTACTAACTGCCGAGACCCTTAGATTGAGCAGCATTACTTTTAAAGCATTACTGTCACCAAGCACACTTTTCAGGAAAAGTCTTCTTTCCTGATGAACTTGGACAGCATCCTACTAGGCTGGCTTTGACTTTGGCTTGAGGAGGGTCTCACTGTGGGAATCTAGAATCAGGAGTTCAAGCCAGACCTTGGCCACAAGAAGGCAGGCCACCTCTGTAAGCCAAAGGCAAGTCCTAATCGGCCAGATGAGATCCTTGCGCTGGACGCATCTGTTGGGTCTCTTCTAGTTCTAACATTCTAGAGCAGTGGTTCTCAATCTTCCTCATGTCGAGACCCTTTAATAGTTCCTCATGTTGTGAGGAACATACGATTATTTTCGTTGCTACTTCATCACTGTAACTGCTACTGTTATGAATCATGCGACCCCTGTGAAAAGGTCCTCCAACCCCGCCCCCAAAGGGGTCTCGACCCACAGGTTGAGAACCACTGTTCTAGAAGCTTAAGATTTATACTTAAACTAGGTCGATATCAAGTAAGGTATCTATCCATCTATGAAAAAAAAATGCTGAGGTTGGTCAAAATTTTCGTCAATAGAATACTGGCTACACTCAAGACCTGGAACAATACTTGGGAATGTAAGTGAGAGAAGGGCACATGTTACACCTTGAATGTCACCCAGTAGTATCTGAAAGTAAGTCTCAGTGAGGGCCTACCTTGCTTAAAGAAAAGAGCTGTCTTTCAAAGGCCGCTTGATGCCCCACACGCCAGTGTATACTGGACGCCAAGGTCATTCATTTCGGGTTCTGCTGGATATTAAAGACGCTTAACACAGCAGGCTTGAAAACAGAGGAACGATTCATACCTGCCACGGGACACTTCCACACCAGTGCTTCCCCTCTGCCTTACTTTCAACACATCTGAAGAACAACCTAATGGAGTGCAAAACACAAGTAAGCGAGGCTGTGGAAATCCACTGAAACATGAGGCGAAATATAGTTAGTCTAAAAAAAATATCTAGCAACCATTTGACACTGGCATTGAAAGATCGCTTGCAACCAACCAGTCCTATGTGTACCTGAAACAGTTCTGCACTGCACGAGACCTGCAGAAGGGCTAGGAAGTAAAGGGAAGGCCCTGGTGGGGCGAGCGATTAGTACACTCGGCTGTCCACTGGAGGCCGGCTGTTCGAGTCCAGTTAGAAGAACATCAGAAGAAAGGCCTGGCGATCTACTTATGAAAAGCCTGCCTCTGGAAACCACAGGTAGCACAATTCCACTCTGATACACAGGGGGCCACTGCAAGGGACTGGCTGGTACGTGAAAGAGGGGAGCCGGCCCGGTAAACAGAGCACGTGCCCAGGTTTATTCCTTGCTATTCAGGGCACAGCCGGACAGAGACAGAGACAGTGGTCTCCAATGGCTACGAAGAGGGATAACCAGACATTGTGTGTGCCTGGGGGGCCACCCTACTGCCTACAAAGTGAAGGGGCAAAACAATGAAACTAAACCAAGAAAAATGGTCACAAATAAACAGAAACGAGCCTGATTGGGACTAAAACTCTAGATCCGATTACCGACTTACAGGAAACACAAAGCTCTCGGAATGTGCAAAACCAGAGCATGGGCGTGCAGTCAGCAAAGTCTCGGCAATGGGCAAGCTGTAGGACAGACACTCCGGTTTCCAACAGGCAGAAACGAGGCAGGAAAGACAGACCACTCAACCGCCACTGGTGAACCGTATTCGAATCCTGACTGAAGCGTATACAAACTACAAAATCAATTACCATGTCTACGGCATTCATGAGTCTACTGGGAATTTGGACAGTAGCAGTATTTCTGAAGACAGTAAGGAAATGGTGATTTTTAGGTGCATCGTGGAATTGGTATTGTGAGCATGCTTAGAAACAGAAAATGCTTATCTTCTGGAATGACATACTGAAATATTTATATATTAAATACGTTATCTAGAATTTGCTTCAAAATAACATGGCAGGAGTTGGGAGTGGAGGGTGAGTTTGGTATATACAGAGACAGAGTTAATTATTAAAACTCATGGGTGTATTCTCCTATCCTGTCTAGTTCTGTTATGTATTTGAAATCTTTCATTAAAAAAACAAACAAACCTGACTACACTTAATATAGATGTTCAAGGGGACTTCAGAGTTCGTGGGAACTGTCATTATCTCTTAATTGCATCCTTGATTGAACTTCTTGAAACCCCCACATACATGCTAGTGCAGGGCAGTCCCCAAGCAAACCGCACAGCCCACATGCCAGACATTCCAGAGATGACTCCCTGAGCTAAGCCAGGCACTCTGGGCCTGCCAGCCTTCACATGTGTTCCTTCTCCAGCCTTTACCCCTAGTTGTCTACCATCGCCTCCATCCTCACCAACTACTGAAACCCCACCTGTCTGGTATGGACTGAATGGTGTTCCCCAAAAACATAGCCCCTGGCATCCATGAACATGACCCGGTTTGGTAATAGCGCCTCTGAAAAACGTTATCAGTTAGCATGATGGTACAGCAGAGTAGTGTGGGTCCAAACGGAATGTGAGTGCTGTCCTTCTAAAAGAGACCAGACCCAGAGACATGCAGCGGGGTGCCATCCATGTAAAGATGCCTAGTCATGGCAAGGAAAGCCAAGAAGCCTGAAGGTGGGAAAGACAGGGACCTTCCCCAGGAGAAGACAGAGGTATGAAACAGATTCTCTCTCAGTCTCAGAAGGAACTGACATGGTCAGTACCTTGATCTTGACCTGGCTCGCAGTCTAACCTATAGAACAATAAGTTTCTGTTCTGTCCCTCACGGCTCAGCTCAGGTCTTACCTCCTATGCAGTGTTCTTCCCTCCTCACTCAGCCCGGGCACCGTCTCGGTACCCGTGTTGCCACTTTGAGTTGTATGACACTTGCACATGCCGAGATCTGTGGCTCAGGTGCTGTGGAGCTGGCGCTCCTCATGGCAGCCTGATGTACACGAGTCCTCTGCCATCTTCATGAGTCTGCTATCGTCCGCTGTCTGGGCTGCTCTCTCAGTTCACCTCATTGGTGGTTTCTCTCGTTTTCCCCCGGCTTTTACTTTACCAAATTGAGCTCCTTTTCCAGCAACTGATCTTTCCTGATGCCATGCTCAAAGGCAGCAAGCACGCTGACGGCCCATCCCCCTTACCTCTACAGAGCACTCAGCAACACTGTCACTCACTGCCAAGGGGTCATTCCAGCTCATGGCCACCCTGGGGGACACAGGAGAACTGCCCTGGTGGGTCTCCGAGGCTGGGACGCTTCATGGATAGAAAGCTGCACCTTTCCCCCGCAGAGTGGCTGGTGATGTCAGCCAGCACGTAACCCCTGCACAAGGGCTGATGGCCCACAGTACGGCGCTCAAAAATATCAGCCCACGGGCTCTCTCGTCAATCACTTGGTTTCTCCCGACTGCAGACTCATGTTTACATCGTTCTTCACAGAGCGCTGCCTGTCCTTTTCTCACTGCAGATTTGAAAGGTCACTCCCGGCTAACTGCAAGCCTCAATTTCCCCACCTTTCTCAGGAACTCTGGTCAGCTTTAATCACTTACTGTAAGCCATCCTAGGAGCCCTAGGGCGGGGCTGCTACACATTAGGCTAAATTCAAGGCCAACAGTTTGAAACTACCAGCCTGTAAGGGGGAGAAAAAGGAGGCTTTCTACTCCCCATAAAGAATGAGTCTCAGAAGCCACAGGGGCAGTTCAATGCCGTCCTCTGGGTCGCGCTGAGTCAGCCTCGACTCCGTGGCAGTGAGTTTGGGTTTGCGTCTGGGAGAGGCCTTACAAGCCACAGAACCACGAGCACTGGAACACACCGAGTCTCGCCTCTGACATAGGCAGACTGGACGGTTCCCCAACAGTAGTACATGGAATGCTTATCCCAGTGGTGGCGTTGACCCTCAGGAGTACGGGCTCCCTTCTTTATGTTCTCCAGCACTGGAAAGCATGCAGCTGGATTTTGACTGCATGTTTTTACAACTTATGTTCCAGATGGGACAAAGATTTGATGTAAAAACCAAAACTGCAAATGTTTCAGAGGAGGGAAAGGACAAAAGAAAACAAAAATGAGACATGAATGTTTCTCTAACTCTAAACAGACTATTCTAAGCAAGCCATAAAATCTTGAAGCTGAGAAATAAAGGATTTAATAATTTTGAGCATATAGAAGCTTTCAAATTCCACATGGCAAAAAAAATACCATAAGCAAAATGATAAGTCAAAAGGCAAAGTGGGAAAAAGGAATTGGCGTACACATTGCCAGAGGTTTCTAGATAAGCATTTACACAACCCTATAGCATGTAAGACTTATCTCCATTGTACAGCACAGTGCCATTACATCCTATCATCTATCAACAGCCATCTAGTCCTATTCTGACTCAGTGACGCTACAGGGCAGAGCAGACCTGCTGTGCACTAGGGCTTTCCAGGTGGTGGAGTGGTGATGCTTTGGGCTACTAACCCCAAGGTCAGCAGTTTGAAACCACCATCTGCTCCACTGGAGAAAGACGGGGCTTTCTATGCCTATGAAGAGTTAGTCTCAAACCCACAGAGGCCATTGTCCTACAGGGTCACCGTTGGTCAGAGTTGACTCAATGGCAGTGAGTTTTGAATTTTTAAAGTCTTTCCAGGAGAAGCCAGCCTCGTCTTCCTCCAGTGTGACTCTCTAGTATCTAATTGGCACTGGCTTTATTGAGTGGTGGCCCAGACGTTCTCCTGCCTGAGTCTGGCTCATGTTCAAGTGCTCTTTATTAACAGCCTCCCTATTATACCGGGGCTGGATTTGAGCAACAATTTTATCCAATCACCCACTATGCAAGGTATCTATTAGATGTGCGAGAATTCGAGTATTATAAAAAATAAAATATTTTGAACATCAGTATTTACTTCTACTTTGACCCTATATTCTCAAGAAAAACTCAGAGAAGAAAAGTTGAGAGGCTGGGAATGAATATAAATGCAGAAGCTGAATATACTGGAAGCATGCCAAATTATTTATGACAGGAGATTTCTTTGCCCTGGCCCTATTCAGTGACTATCCTAGCTCTTTATTCCCCAATTGAGGGGTGAAGCACTGGCGAAATGCTGGTGCCTAGTGCCACCTGGTGTTAAAGTCGCAGAACTGCACACAGAGGCAGCTCCACAGGACAGTATCCAAAAAAACGGGCACCTTGCTTGGCCTTCATTATGTGTCTGAGCCTGTCTCGTGGCTATGTTAAGCTTCAAACCTAGTCCTTGCCATTAGAGAATGTAAAGCACTCTGAGTTGTTGAAAAGAACGCCAGTGGGCAGGAAAGGAGTCTCTCTGGAGCAGAGGTGTTGCTCAGTGCCTTCACTGTCTGGGACGGATGCTGCCCTCCATGGATTTTATCTGGCTCTGGTTAAATTTCCAGTCTTTACCACCCATCAGGGTAACTCATTTTTTTAAAATCAGAATAGTTTATTTCAAGTGTTAACACTTTTTCAAAAAGTAAAAAAATATAGTTACTTCCCTGAGTATAAAGAACTAATCCTACAATAAGATATTTATAAAATTAAACATTAGAGGTACACAACTCATTCAGTTATATGCTAGTAAAAATGTATTATTAAAATTTTCATGTTTTTAGAAACTTCAATGTTAAAAAAACAACAACCCAGATCGCTCATTTTGTACTTGTGATCTTAAGATATCGATCAGATCTGTCTTTATCAAATTCCAGAGCAATCTTTAAAGCGGTGCTATTGAGGCCGACAGACTGCATGTTACATATGATAGAAACAATTATTCCTCTTGGGGGAACCTTGTTATTTGTAGCTTCTCCATCCAGCTCTTCAGGAAGAACCAGTAGGACACCACAGGCCCCCACCGCACCTCCAGTATGGGAAGCACAACGCCTCTGCTTCCTACGAGAACCGCAAGTCTGCTGCTTTTCAACAATACCCCGTGCCACTGCATACTACCCTCTCTATCCCAAGACATCTCTGTGCTAGGGACTGGTGTCCAAATCACAGCCATTGTTTCTGGTTTAAGAAACAGGGTTTCTTACCCAGGGTTAAGATTTTCATGTGAGTTCTTAAACAGCCCGACTTGGTAACCATTCGGCATTGCATTCCCAAACTTCAGGAGGTGCCCACTGTAAACAGAAATCCACCACCAGCCCATTTAGAGGAGTTATCCACATAAGGTGTGTTGACGTCTCTTTTTATTGTACACATAAAATCTGGCTCTCTTGTAAATCACTGGCTCACTTTCTTCCTGCACAGTGGTCATGGAATATTTTCTGCATACAGGCCAAATATCTGCATCCTGAAGCTCTTTCGACTACGGCTGCCAGGAAGGGATAGCCAAAAGTTGAATGCAAAACTGACTACCAGGCTTAAAGAACAAGGGATCGTTTTTAAGTCATCTCAAGGATTCAATGGAATTGTCAGACTTTTCTTTCAAATATAATTCTCCTTGTTCAAATCAGTCTTCTTGCCAGACTTCGAATTCTTGCCTTTGGTTCATTATCCTGCTGTCTTAACCTATTACAAAAGGCTATTTGAAGGTAGAGATGATAAACATTCCGTGTTATGGGCATTGAATTAAAAACAACAAAAAGTGCAGGAGCGCACACACACACACACACACACACACACACACACACCACACACCCCCTATTGTCATGGAGTCAATTCCCACCAATGGCGACCCTAATGTGTTAGGGAGAACTGCTACAAAGAGCTGTTTACTTAACTCAAGCAGATGGCTAGGGCTTTATTTTGTGGCACCCACCGCTGGGAGGATTTGAACTGCCACCCGTTAGGTTAGCAAAACCACCATTAGTGCAGAGAAAATCATTGCACCACGCAGGGGCTTCTCACTCACAAAACCAAACTCACTGGCATGGAGTTAGTTCTGCCTCCGTGACCCAATGTATAGGGCAGAACAAAACTGCCCCTTTGGGTTTCTGAGACTAAATCTTTACAGGAGTAGACAGCCTCATCTTTCTCCATGGAACAGCTGGTGGGTTCAAACTGTGGACCTTGTGGTTAGCCGCTCAATGCCTAATCTACTATGCTACCAGGGCTCCTCAGCCCCAGAGACATAAGCATTCAATAAAAACCCACAACAAAACCAGTTGCCATCCAGCCAATGCTGACTCACGGCGACCCTGCGTGTGCAGCACACAACTGCTCCACAGGCTTTTCAGGGCTCTGACCTTTCAGAAAGAATCGTCTGGCCCTTCTTCTGAGGACCCACTGGGCAGGTTCAAACAGCCAACCTTTGGATTAGCAGTCCAGTGCTTAACTGAATACCCAACTCACTGCGGCCAATTCTGATTCATAGCAAACCTTAGGACAAAGTAGAGCTGCTCCACAGGGTTCCCAAGGCTGTACATCACAGAAGCAGATAGTCTCATCTTTCTCCCACTCGGCTACTGGGGGGTTCAAACCACCACGCTCCTGCTTAACAGAATACCACACCAAACCCAACCATACCCTCTGCCGTCCAGTCAATGCGAACTCATTGTGCCCACAAGACAGAGCATAACTGTTCCATAGGCTTTCTGAGACTGTAAATCTTTCCAGAAGCAGGCAGCCTTTTATGGTTTGGACCTCCTGTTCCTGTGGTCAGCCCAACACCTAACCCGCACCACCAGCAAGGCTCCTTGTTACCAACCGAAACAGTGGCAACTCCCTGAGATGCTATGCTCCTTCATACCTCTGTACCCTAATCCAGTGAGCGCGATCCCTGCCTTACACCTGGGGAGCACCTACTCATTCTTTTGACACTCTATCTAGACATCCTGTATCCTTGTTCCTCTTCTGAGCTGCCATAAAAGGAAAGGAAAGCCAGCATTTACTGAGTATTTAACTAATGTATGTGAGACCTTTCTGCACACTCCCTCCCCTCTACTGTTGGAATAAGAAAGTTGACAGGGCAAGTTAGCCACTGTTAGCGGTTTGATAGCATTGGCTGGGTGAGAGTTGGAGAGGGGCAACAATGGTGCTTTGACCCCTGAAGTTAACCAAAGGTCAGCTTTCTGTTGGCTAACTGGCTGCTCAGAAAAGTCAGGGAGTCATAGCCCAGAAGATATTAACTGCCCCCTACACACCCAGAATTTTACAGTCATTTCTACGAAAACATATCTGCCTGAAACTCCTTCAGAAACCACAATCAAACCGTTTTAGGGGACACTCACCTGTACTCTTTCTGGCCCTGTGGGAGAAGCAAACCCTGCAGTTCCACCACGAAGTCTTCATGCAACAAGCAATAAGAAACAGGAATGCTAGTGGGAGAACGGAGCAGAAAAAGATCTTCGTATGAGGCGGCAAGGAATAGAGAGCAACAATCTAGAACCCAAAAGCAAACTATGGGCTTCACCATTCAGTGTGTAGCCCTTGGGTTTGTAAACGCCACACATTTTCATTGTCTGGGTACCTTCCTCGAGAAAGGACCCATAGCTCTCTTCTCCACTTCTTCCAATAGAGCAGGGGTGGGGAACGCCCGGCCTTCGGGGCATAGAAGGCCTGTGGAATGTTCAATACCAGCTAACATAACACTCCTCACCCAAGAGAAACAGTTCCAACCATCACATTAGGGGTGAGTTCATTAAATGTCTGACCTGTATGGCCTGTGAATGACGTTATACATATCCTAATAGCCCTTGGCAGAAAAAATTCCCCACTCCTGAAACATAGCATGAAAACAAATATATCTTTTCCTGATAACTCAAAGGTTTAAAACCATACCATGCTGCAAGACCACTACACCGTGATGCTGCAGCAATGACTAGAAATACCTAAGACTGACTGTGAAGACCAGTGCAAATTCTCCATTTCTCCCATCATCCTTTTTCCTATAATAGCCTGTTAGCTATCACTTAGTGATGTCCATAGGCCTCTAACAATACACTGTAATAAATTTGCTCCAGGCTTGACATAAATAACTTTCTAAACTCCTCCTTCCCATCTTATTATGAAGCAAATTTAAATATATTGGAGAATATCTATAGTAAATATATTTGAGAATAAATATGCTTGAGTAAAGTCTAAAGTACTGTGGTAGTTATATAATCTGGTGCCAACTAGACTATTAAGAGTGAAGGGGTGGAGTTTGGCCTGTTAATCAGGTTGCAGCTTAATGCCTTCATTTGGAGGCGCTAAGGAAAAAATAGCTCAATGGAGGTCAGACACACTCTCCCTGCAAGACTCTCTGCTTGTCTCCCTGACATTCCTATTGACAAGCCACATGGAGCTACACACTGATGGAGACCCACACCAGTACTGAGATGCTTCCACTGCCAGTGGACCCATAAGACTTTCCACCCACTGGCCTGCAATCTTCCTGCATTTGGCATCATTGAATGTGTTGTGTGAGTCTGAAGAGGAAATTATACACTGGTATTAGACATATAGTATCAGACTTATGGACTTGATCTGGACTAGGCTGGGATGTTTTCTTAATGTACAACTGCCCTTTGATATAAAACTCTCTCTTACACACGAGTCACCCTAATTTTGTTTCTCTAGTCTACCCAATCTAACACAGGTACTCTCATATGAGCTGTTGCTTTTTAAAAAATATATAATTTATTATCATTTGGTTATCACCTACATTCCAAATAGATCAAATTTATCAAATAATATTTAAGACTATTACTATTCTGTTGGAATAGAAATACATTTCTTTAATTAGCACTCTATAAAGGAATGTTTCTTTTAATGTACAACTGAATCTTATGCCACCATTAATAGTTAATACAAAGTTTTGTGTCTTAGGAAACTTGAGCTGGGTTGAAGCTCAGTATATTTAGAAGTCGCAAATAAACAGTAAGACTTGATATGACATGTTGACTCAGAGCTAGAGGTTTGTGCTTGGTTCCTGCAAAAGATTTTTACCTAAAATCATTGTTTCATGAATATGGATCCCGGGTATTTCTTATGTTTCAAATAAGAAAAACAACACATTGGAGAACTAACAAAATATTTTCTCTACAAACTGATAGCTTAACTCTGAAAAAGGATACCAAGTTTTTTAGTTTCGAAGCATAACAAAGACACAAATCATCTAAGTCCAAGAGAAACTTAAAAAATAAATACACGTGCATATTGAAAGAACTTTGTTTTCTAGTATTGTTAGCTATGTTCTGCCTTACATATGAAGAAGAAAAACACCTTTTCTGTATGAAGCTCAGGCGAATAGCCAGCAGGAAAAATTTTTAATGCCGTGATTTTAAAATTCACATGGGCCGTACAGTGTAACACCCACACTGTGCTGGAGCGGGTTGGGGGTGACTACTTAGTAATAATAGTATTAGCTTTATCACTTTAGAGACATGTAAGCTTTCTGAACGTGACTTTCAATTGTTAAATATAACTCTCCGATGTTTCTTTCCGTTCTAATCCCTAAAAGTAACATGCTTCTTTGAATCATCAATCTCATCATTTAGATTCAGAGTAATTTTAAACAGAAGGGGGGAGCGGCTGATCATCTGTTTTAACCGCAACACCTCAGCCTTATAAAAAATCAGTGAAAAAAGTTGACAGGTGAGCTGAGAAGAAACGGAGGGATCCAGGTGTTCCAAGAGCCTCCACTGAACAGGTGAGGAATTGATGGCCCGAGAAGTGACTTGACCAGCAGTCGGACGCCCAGTCCAGCGGTCATGACCACGCACAAAGCCCCGTGATGACCCTGGCTCCACACACCTGGAGCCCCGCCACTCCTAGCCCCTGCGGGCTGGGCGCAGAGGTGCCGGAGCTCCTCCTCGGAGCCCTCCGTGGCGCGGGGGCAGCGTGCCCAGCTCCAGACCCACCTGGTGGCCTGCACGAAGCCGCACGCCTTCGCCGTGCACACGTAGAAACTCTTCCCTTTATTTGGTCCCTCGCGGACGCCAGTCTTCAGAAAGCAGACGGTGCCTGAGGAGAGAGGGTCAACACCGATTACACTGCCGCTGGACCGGCAGACCCAGGGGTACCCAGGGTCCCGACCCTTTACCGTGCTCGGGACACTTCACTACTTCCATCACTCCCTTTTCCACGAAGCCCCGCCCCCGCCCCCGACTTCCGCCTTTTACGCCATCCTCCCTCAGGAACCAATCAGCAAGTCTTTGCCCCCACAATTCGCCTCTCGCGGCCTTAATCCCCGCCCTAGCTATGATCAGCCAATCAGATAGGAAGGGTCCCTTCCCGACAACCAATCAAAGCGGCCCTCAGGCTTCGCGCGCGTTGCAATCGAAATGCGGCAGGGGGCGTGGCGAGGACCTGGCATTTGCCGGGTGGGGCGTGGTTGGAAATTAACTCGCTGGCCGCGCTGCCTGCGAAAGAGGAGCGTTAATTTGAAAGTCAATACGTGACTGAGGCCCAGGTCGGCTCTAGTTTAAATTTAAGACCCTGGCCAGAGCGGGAGTTCGAGCTCCGAGTCGGATGCTTTCTCCTGGATGCTTTCTCTCTGGGAGCCTGGCCTGGCGCTCTGGGTTTCTCCTACGGCTTTGTGCTCCATCACTGGGGGAAGCGGGGCGGCTCGAGAGGCAGCCGCTGACCTGCAGAGGTGTAACTAAATGTGCGGTTCTGGTGTGGCTAGAGGTGGGGACGTCTTTAACGCCGGGGTGGTGTACAGAAAAGCCGGTCATCGAGCAGGACCCCACAGCCGTGCTCCTAGTCTACCTGGCGCCTTGTCGTCAGTTGCGTCCCAGTCGATTCTCACCCATGGCCACCCCTGTTTGAAGTCGTTTGCTCAGCAGTTATGGCTGTGACCTTCGGGGAGCAGATCGCCAGGCCTGCCTGCTGTCGCGCCTCTAAATGGGCTCAAGCTGCGCCACGTGGATAATGGGAGCACTTACCTGTGTCCACCACTCAGGACATCTGCCTAGCCCTTTCTTGTGCTGCGGTGCTGTGGGATCCAGCTCAAAGCAGCCCCATGTACTACAGAGCCACACACTGCCCGAGCCTGCACCTTCCGCTGTTGGA